AGAGCTGGTGGGGGGGGGAGGAGGAGGAAAATGGGAGTGATGGTGGGGGGCCGGATGGAGACACCCCGGAATCCCTGGAGCCATGCAGACAGGAGCTCTTCTCGAGCCAGGAGGAAGGTAGCCAGTCACAGCAGCCGGTACTTGGTGGAGGACAAACAGAAGAGCAGGTTCCTGGTAAGCGTTTTTGTTTGTTTTTTTTCGGGAAGGAATTTTTTCGGTGCCGGCTCTTTGGGAGAGGAGGGTTAGGCATGCATGCCTAGATGCGGAATAGTGCATTGATGTGGTTTATCACATTGCGGTAATCTCCTTGAATGTCTCATCCAGAACGTGTGCAATGCGCATGCACAGGTTTATCAGGAGAGCCACCGTGGTCCTTGTCCCAACCAGGCTAACGTGTCCACGCCACTGTGCCGCGAGGGGCGGCGGGACCATTGCTGCACACAGGCAAGCTGCATATGGGCCAGGGCGGAAGCCGCATTGCAGTAGAAGACCCTCCCTTGCTTCCCAGGTCACACTCAGCAGCGAGATATTGTCCAGGACGAACTCCTGTGGAAAATGTTGGGACAGTGTAGCTGCCCCCTGAAGCTGTTGGCTCTCCCCAAGGCACAGAAACCCAGAGAACAGTGCAGTTCTGAAACAATCAGTCCCCCTTACTCACCATTTTGAGGCTCCTGTGGGATGTGCATGCTGTTTCGGACAAGAAAATTATGCAATTGTGTGGACCCTGGGTGTTTTTTACTCCTTAAGTTCGGGGGAAATCATTACTCTGTCTGGTATAAACAATGCTGCCTCTTAAATGTTGCATTTTGCCTATACAGCAGCATCAACCTTGAGACCTCAGCCGTCCCTCTTATCGCCTGCTCAGAGACTGCAAAGACTCAGGAAGAGACCGTGAAAAAGCAAAGAAGACATGCTGCAAGAAGTGATGCGGCAATCTATTAAAGAGAATGAGAAACTACAGAACTGGAGGGAGAGAGAAAGCAGGATCAGCCAGGAAAACGCAGCGCACGGGCGGCAAAGCACAGAGCACCGGCAGCAAAGCACGGGTCGGCTCATAAGCATCCTGGAGCACCAAGCAGACGCTATCCAGGAGCTCGTAGCCATGCAGAAAGAGGAGCAGTACCGCAAACGCCACCCCCCCCTACAGCCCTTGTCCCAAAACGCTTTCCGTTGTGCCCCACTGTCACCTCCAACCCATTTTCCCCAACTTCTGTGTTCTTCATGCCACCCGCTGCCTCCAACACCAGTATCTTCACCACCCAGCCCTGAAAACCACGACCCTTACCCTCTGCACTCAACCTCAATCACCATGCAGTATAGCTGTCCTGAAGTGCAGCACTCACTGCACAGCACACCAGACAGGACATACGCGAATCTGTGATTGTACCATTCCCCACTCCACCCCCTTGTTTCTTTTCAATAAATGGATTCTTTGGCTTTGAAAACATTCTTTATTATTGCATAAAGTAAAAGACTCCTTAGCCCAGGAAATAAACAGGCACTGCAAGTCTGCTTGTCTGCTTAGCAGACACTGATTCCTAAAGATTGGAACTACTGCACTTCACTCGCATGCAGGGCACCAGATATCACTGCTGGTTTTCAGCCTCAAATTGCTCCCTCAAGGCATCCCT